GCGTGGGCGGCGCGTGGGCGGCGGCGAGGTGGGGCCCGGAGGGCGGGACGCGGCCCGACGGTGCATGATGGGCTTGTCCGGCTTCAGGCCAGCTCTGCTAAGGCTGTGTGGACCTCAGGCCACCACCCCTAAAACGTCCTTGGCTCAGACGTTGTTGAGTCTGAAGTTGTGCAGTGGCGGAAAGCCTGCCAGGGCCCCAAACTTCTAGGCCTAGAACATGCATTTTCCAAAGACCTGCTCAGGCCTCAACCTTCTAGAGCTGAAGCGCGCATTTTCCAAAGGCTTGCCCAGGTCTTAACCTTGCAGGACCTAGAAGTGTGCATTTTCCCAAGGCCTGCTCAGGCCCCAAACTTCTAGGCCTAGAAATGTGAATTTTCCAAAGGCCTGCCCAGGTGCCAACCTTGCAGTACCTAGGCATGTGTACTTTCCAAAGGCCTGCTCAGACCCCAACCTTCTGGGCCTAGAAATGTAAATTTTTCAAAGGTCTGCCCAGGTCCCAACCTTACAGGGCCTAGAAATGTGTATTTTCCAAAGGCCTGCTCAGGCTCCAACCTTCTGGGCCTAGAAATGTATATTTTTCAAAGGCCTACTCAGGCCCCAGACTTTCTAGGCCTAGAAATGTGCATTTCCCAGAAGTTGCTCGCCGTAAACCTGTTCGTTCTAGAATCCTTTGGACAAAAGCCCACTGTAGCCTAAATCATGCTTAGGCTCAGCCCTTCCTGGGCCTAGGTCAGGTCTGCTTAGTCCTGACAACTACTAGACCCAGCTTTTTTTGAGGCCAGAACCTTGCTGGGACCCAAAGCTGGGCAGCCCCCCACCCCCACCCCTGGACCAGCCCTGCTAAGACTGCTGCTTTCTCCAGGAGACCTAGGCAGAATGGCGGCGACTGAGGCCCCTGTCCCTACCAAGCAGTTCACCAAAATCAAACAGCTGGAGTTGATTCCGGAAAAGGCCCCAGAGGAAGAGGAGGACAGGGTGTGCAGAGTGAAGGAGCAGTTGAGCCCCGTGGACATGGAGGCCCAGTCTCTCCCGGGGGCCCTGCAGCCCTGGATCCCCGAGGGAGAGCTGGAGTTGGTGTCAGCCTCAGCGGAGGAGAGCCAGAAGCACATCCTGATGCTGCAGACAGTGCACCTCACCTCGGAAGACGTGGAGGTGTATGAGATGGGCTGGCTGCCGGCACAGCCCCCAGAAGGGGGTCAGGTGACGGTGCCACAGTCGGGCGGCGGGCTGCCATCCCTGCTGTGGCTGCAGCCTCCGCTGGGCGAGGGCCCCCAGCAGAGTGAGCACCAGTGTCTCCCCATCAATGTCCAGGACGAGGTGTACTCACTGCAAGAGATGGAGCTGATGCAGTTCCAGGTGGTGGAGGAGAGCGGGACGGCGACCAGTGAGGACAGCAGGCTCGCTGTGAGCCTGGCGGGAAGTGCTGGATCGGTGAAGGTGGAGTTGGTTTTAACAAATGGACCCTTCTCATTTGGGGAAAAATAGAAAACTAATTTTTTAAAGTTACCCTTTGTGTAGTTGAATGTAAGGACAAGCTATTTTGCAGTTTAAAATTACATGTGGTAAAAATACTTCCCAAAAGACCTTATGTTCCTTTTGAAGGGTTTAAAAAGTTACACTAGTTAGAATATTGTAGGGTGCATTGGGTTAAAAAAAAAGCGTGATGTTTCACCGCCAAAACTGGTAATGCTAAATAATTAGCATTTTGTTGCAGTGGATGCTTTTCCTCACTTCTTTAATTTTTGGTTTTCATTATGTGCTCCACGGTTGGACCGAGGCAGGGTTTAATCAGATTGTAATGAATAGCGTTGTGTTTGTTCCAATCCTTATTTTTGTTTGTTAGCTGGAGAGAGGTCAGGAGGGGGCCCAGCTGCTGGCGGAAGGAGGATTCCCTGAGCGAGCAGAGGAGCAGCTCTTCCTTGTGGAGGCCACGCCGGGGGAGGAAGGAAGAGACGAGATTATTCTGACTATTTCCAGCTTGCACGTGGAAGAGCGAGAAGATAAACCTTCATCTAGTGAAGCCAGAGTTGAAAAAGTCAACCCTGCAAAAAATCGGAGAAAGACAAAGGGTAGGCCAGCTCATCTTGTACAAGAGATTTTGCGTAAAACTGGTCTACAGTTTTTCTTTATGGGAAGGAAAGAGTATGAGCTTCCTGCAGCTGCTGTAACAAAGTACCAGAAACCGGGTAGCTTAAAACAACAGAGCTGTATTCTCTCACGGTTCTGGCAGCCAGAAGTCTGAAATCAAGGTGGGCAGGGCCATGCTCTCTCTGAAGGCCCTAGGGGAGGGGCCCTCCTTGCCTCTTCCAGCTTCTGGTGGTTGCCGGCAGTCCTTGGTGTTCCTAGGCTTGTACCTGCAGC